GTCTACCCATTCAGTGGTCACCAGGGAGACTATGGATGAACTTCTTGTGTTCCCTGCCTCGCTCCTTGAGACTGTGAATGCACTGTCTGTTTCCTGTTTTTCAATTTTGCCCAGGTCCCAGTTCCTGCCTTGGGTTCCTGCTCCAGCCTGGTGGTCTTCTAAACTGCTCTGGTGGTCTTCTGTTCTGCCTGCTCCGCCCTGGTGGTCTTTTGTCCCATCTGCTCTGCCCTGGTGGGCTTCTGTTCCGTCGTGGAGGTCTTCTGTCCTTCTATGGTGGACCAGTCCCCGGTCTCTCCACTTCCACGTGGACCTGGCCCTCCATCCCTCCCCCTGTTCCGCCTCCACTCCACCACCCTCCGGAATCGTAAAGTGTTTTGGAGCGTCTGGAAGCCGCTCCTTCTCTAAACAGAGTATGCTCAAATTACCTGCCTAATAATTGTTAAAAAAAATTAAAACTATTGATTTTACTGCAAGCTAAATTGTTACGAATCCTGTCCATGGACTTCTGTCCGATCGCCACCAGAGGTCACTCATCCATCATATTGACTCTCTCACTACACAGACTGTTACACGTCACCACGGACTACATTTCCCATCATCCATTGCACTGATTGCACACAGCTGTAACCAATCACACACCTTACATAAGCCATGGACTTCCTCTCTCTCACTGCCGAGTATTGTATGCGCATATCGCTAGTCAGTAATAGCTACATTACGAAGCCTGCTTTAAGTTTCCTAGTCTTAGCTTAGTCTTGCCTAGTCTGTTTTCTTTGTTCTGATCATTGCCTGTGTATTTCGGATTACCCCTTCGTCTCGCCCTGTTTGAATACTGTTTACTCCTCGCCTGGACCATCGCCTGTGTTTCGTAATTACCCTTTGGATTACCCTGTTTGGACTTTGTTCGCTGGAGATCGACCCCACGCCCATCCACTGGACTATTCTTGTGTCTTGCCCTCAATATATCTGTTTGCCATCGTCTGACCCTCACCTGTGTTGACCACTTCCTTAAATAAAGCTTGCGGATGGATCCGCATGTCTCACGTCTTGTTTGCCCGTAACAATTTCCATGTTTTGCCACATAATTACATTTTATTATGTAGGTAAATCACATACTCGATCTCGCCTGCTCTCTCTCCCTCACAGACGCACATACACAACTTGGTTATCGCTACTCTGGTGATTTTATTTTAAAAGCTACATGATATTTCTGTATATCATGTAGCGCTGTTCGTGAAGAAAATGAACTTAAAGTTTCACTGTTAGTAGAGACGCTGCTGCCGAACCGAATTTTGAGAGACACACAGGCTCATCAGAGAGGCAATATAGACATTTTGGAATTAGCAACGGAGGCATTGGATGAGATGCGGAAGAAATTAATCCTACTCACAATAGCATTTTAAGTGCAAAAAACAGACGAATGCCTTGAAATATATCATCTGATCAATGTCTTGAGGTGTGGCAACCGTAGTATAAGTGGAACTCCGACTCCAGGCCGTTGAATTATTAGAGAAATAATGCACACCTGAGGTGTTGATGCGGCCACGATGCGATTAATAACGATATTCATTTTACTGTATTCAGCTGTTGTTTCTCCAGTAAGCCTGTATGCCCATGATATATTGCCTTAGCTAAACTTTAGCTAACTTATTACATGGTTGCTCATGAGTCATGGATGTTAGCGAGACAAATTAACTATATTTGCCTTTTTGTCTTTTGGATAATTAGCTGTAAATTTGAGGCACAGATAGCTTAGTCTTTTGTTCATCACCACTCACCTCCACACCAAGACAAACACAACTGGAAAGGGAGGGGGGGCTTCACTTCTGCGGCTCTCTGTCTGTCTATGATGTGCTTATCAAAGTACGCTACACTGCTGTGTTGCGGAGATGCGGAAAGAGAAAGGCATCGAAACTCGACAGAGTCTCAACATTTTCCGACCCGACCTGATATTTAGATTTTTAATTTGTTTGACAAGGAAAGCTGTGCTCAAACAGATATACAACCACGGACTACATTTCCCATCATCCATTGAACTGATTGCACACAGCTGTAACCAATCACACACCCTACATAAGCCATGGACTTCCTCTCTCTCACTGCCGAGTATTGTATGCGCATATCGCTAGTCAGTAATAGCTACATTACGAAGCCTGCTTTAAGTTTCCTAGTCTTAGCTTAGTCTTGCCTAGTCTGTTTTCTTTGTTCTGATCATTGCCTGTGTATTTCGGATTACCCCTTCGTCTCGCCCTGTTTGAATACTGTTTACTCCTCGCCTGGACCATCGCCTGTGTTTCGTAATTACCCTTTGGATTACCCTGTTTGGACTTTGTTCGCTGGAGATCGACCCCACGCCCATCCACTGGACTATTCTTGTGTCTTGCCCTCAATATATCTGTTTGCCATCGTCTGACCCTCACCTGTGTTGACCACTTCCTTAAATAAAGCTTGCGGATGGATCCGCATGTCTCACGTCTTGTTTGCCCGTAACAATTTCCATGTTTTGCCACATAATTACATTTTATTATGTAGGTAAATCACATACTCGATCTCGCCTGCTCTCTCTCCCTCACAGACGCACATACACAACTTGGTTATCGCTACTCTGGTGATTTTATTTTAAAAGCTACATGATATTTCTGTATATCATGTAGCGCTGTTCGTGAAGAAAATGAACTTAAAGTTTCACTGTTAGTAGAGACGCTGCTGCCGAACCGAATTTTGAGAGACACACAGGCTCATCAGAGAGGCAATATAGACATTTTGGAATTAGCAACGGAGGCATTGGATGAGATGCGGAAGAAATTAATCCTACTCACAATAGCATTTTAAGTGCAAAAAACAGACGAATGCCTTGAAATATATCATCTGATCAATGTCTTGAGGTGTGGCAACCGTAGTATAAGTGGAACTCCGACTCCAGGCCGTTGAATTATTAGAGAAATAATGCACACCTGAGGTGTTGATGCGGCCACGATGCGATTAATAACGATATTCATTTTACTGTATTCAGCTGTTGTTTCTCCAGTAAGCCTGTATGCCCATGATATATTGCCTTAGCTAAACTTTAGCTAACTTATTACATGGTTGCTCATGAGTCATGGATGTTAGCGAGACAAATTAACTATATTTGCCTTTTTGTCTTTTGGATAATTAGCTGTAAATTTGAGGCACAGATAGCTTAGTCTTTTGTTCATCACCACTCACCTCCACACCAAGACAAACACAACTGGAAAGGGAGGGGGGGCTTCACTTCTGCGGCTCTCTGTCTGTCTATGATGTGCTTATCAAAGTACGCTACACTGCTGTGTTGCGGAGATGCGGAAAGAGAAAGGCATCGAAACTCGACAGAGTCTCAACATTTTCCGACCCGACCTGATATTTAGATTTTTAATTTGTTTGACAAGGAAAGCTGTGCTCAAACAGATATACACACACACGCACACATAATACATATATTCATTTATTAAAAAAAAAAAAAACCTCCCCAGAAAAAAGGGCACTTTCTCTAGAGGAAGAAAAAGGGCAGGTGCTCAAGCCCCCTCTGATGTCTATGTGTGCACGTGCCTGCAAATTACCATCTGTCCCCAAAAGGTGTAAACTCTCCATGTCAAGGCCTCGATCAATGCAAATTCCAATTGTTAGTTCCTGTCTGCATTTGAAGGATGTTTGTCTTGGTCTGAGTACTTAAGGAAATGTTGCAAGAAGATCAGTGTGTTTCTGTAGCCAGATGAGCCAGTAGTGTGGATTGTGTCTATACTCCATACTATGTATTTTTATGAAGTTGGGTATGCATCTTTTACTCTCAGATTTATCTTTGAGAATTTGATGTCTTGTATTCATTTCATTTGATATATCTGAATTGACTATGTAATTGGCATAATACATATTTACCTGACTGATAATAAATTGGTACATTTGACTTTATTCTGACTTACTCTGAGATTATTGACCCTAGTAGATGTTCTGACTAACACATTGGCATTAGTCATGTATACTTAAACTGTAAAGGTTTTTCCGTTCAGAACAACAGTGTTGTTGACCAATCTAAATAGGGTGAGCCTCAACCTCTGATTATTGTAATATTATTCTAACTAAGTATACGTGGAAAACCACAGCATGAGTATATAAAGTTACCATTAGAGGAAGTTAAGTTGGTCAACTTGGTTCTGTAAGAATCCAACCGCCAGCCCAAAAAGCGGAATCCAGCAGCCTGGTTGAAGGTTTAATGCATATTCGGTCTTTTACTTGCGCTTCTGAATTTTTCAGGGTTTAGTGTAAATTTTAGTTTAGCTCCGTTTTCAATCTGACTCCAATTTTAAGTGATCACTAAATTTAGGCAATGTTTCTAATTAAAAACTGATCACACATATCAATTGTTTATTAATTTAGATATTTGAGTATTCTGGAAATCCCATAGTTTCAATTATTCGTTCATTAAGGACCTAACATCGCTCAGAATGATACCAAACATGAAAGGGAAACAACATATCCACACGATATAACACATGTGGCATAGGGATATTCTTGCATTTGGGGGAGAAGAGTGAGAGGGGAGATTCAGAGGCAGGGAGGGGAGAGGGAGGAAGGGGGTCGTAAATGAACAAGGGGATACGTTTGGTCAGGCTGGTGTTGTTTGCTTTCTTGGGAGATCTCTTCTCCAGATGAGTTTTATTGTTTTATTGCATGGCATCTGTTTTGTGTGAGTTCCTGAGTTTTGGCTTCATGAGGAATTGATTTCATAAGGAAATCATTTCACTCCTTACAGTTCTATGGTCATGACCTCTGGTTAGATAGTCTTACCTTAATTAAGTGTGTTCAGATCTATGGGGACTAAATAATATGTTCTAGAATGAGCAAAGTTACGGGCCTTCTAGAATATTAGTCAGCCGTCTCTGTCTAATGACCAAGACTGATGAGTTTGTGAGTATGAACTCCATATATCCATTTGGTACGAGACTCATAGTGTTATATGAATAAGATTAATAAGATTCAATAAGATTAAAGAGTTAAATATAATAATCAGATGTCTAGATAAATTATACAATCAATGATCAATAATAATTGGCATTCTACTCTAAATCCGAGGTAATAATAAAGTCAGATTAGAATTAAATTGAAATTAAATTACTTTGTGCACTGAAAAGACCGAATACTCAGGAAACCTTCAGCCACCATTGGATACCTTCATTGGGCCAAAACCTGGTTTTGGTCCCTCTGTATTAATACACATATGAGTATTGATATTGATGAAACATCAAATTATCATGAGCACTTTTCCTTATGTGAACAAAAGAGTGCTGAATTTAAATTGTAATGTGATGAGGTAATGTGACTGATACTAAAGTTTGAATTATTTATTGTTTCATAATGTGACTTGTTTCACATACTATTAACAGGTATTAGGCAGAAAACAGTATATACTAAGTTATGTTCAATAAACAAGATAGTATAATACGCATTTTCAACAAAACTACAGTCTCTCAACTAGGTATGTGATCATATTAGCGAGAGTTTATGAGGGCAATGATATTTAACTCACCCGTCACAGTGAGAGAAACAGCAGAGCTTGAGAGAGATGATTTTGGTTTTTCATCTCTCTGTCCTTTACACATGTACTGATCCCGATCAGACTCAGTAGCTCCTCTGATAGTGAGAGTGTCTCTGTTTACAGTGTAATGCGCAGACGGCTGTAACATTACACTGTCTGTGCCTTTATACCACTCATATCTCCAGTCAGGTGTCCAGTCAGATGTCCAGCCGTATGTCCTGTCATTTCTCCATCTCCAGTTATTGTAAGACTCAATCTCACACTTCAGATTGACTGTCTCTCCAGTGAATACAGGACTGTCTGGTGTCACAGTCAGTGTAGATGTGGGGAAATCTGTGAAGAAAGAAGACAGAGCTCTTTCAGTGAACTAGTCAGAAACATGATCACACTGATGTTAAAGAGGAGAGATGTGGAGAGGAGAGTGATGGTCTCTCCTCCGTCTGATTCACTACAGGTTTAATGTGATTCAACATTAGATTTTTTTTTTATCTCTTTAACTTAATGGTGTTTAATATGTTATTCTGAGAACTTCAGGAGGTTGTAGATTCAAAGTGTGTCATCTGAATAAATTATCATACATGTAGTAGAGTTTAGGAGGTCAATGATATTTAACTCACCCATCACAGTGAGATAAACAGCAGAGCTTGAGTGTGAAGATTTTGGTCTTTCATTTCTCTGTCCTCTACACCAGTACTGATCCTGATCAGACGTAGTAGCTCCTCTGATAGTGAGAGTGTCTCTGTTTACAGTGTAACGCTCAGACGTCTGTGACATTACTCTGTAGCTGCCTTTATACCACTCATATCTCCAGTTATTGTCAGACTCAATCACACACTTCAGATTGACTGTCTCTCCAGTGAATACAGGACTGTCTGGAGTTACAGTCAGTGTAGATCTGGATAAATCTGTGAAGAAAGACAAAAATATAGCAAGTCAAACTGTTTTTTTTTTTTTAATAAAAATAATTATATTCATTATTTTAACTCATATTTTATAACATTTGTTTTGATTAGTTTTCGTCCTCAGACAAACACCTCTGACTCGTCACAGAAAGCAGAATGAAGCGCCTGCTGAAGGAGAGCTGAAGACCTCCAACTACAACCTCATATGAGGAGCAACTGAATCTCACTCAACTTCAACAGACTATCTGAAGACTTCATTAGCTCATTTAACATCACTGTAAGTCACCTAATTTTTATCAGACATCTGAGATATGTTTGTAGAATAGACTGGATGAAGCAGTGATTTTAGGAGTCTGTGATTTAACACTGTATGTCTCATTTCCACTGAGCTTGCATCCACACTGATACCAAGGGCTCTTTTATGCCACATGGCCTTTAAACATGGTCTTTAGATAAAAATAATAAAGCAAACACACTGAATAATCCAGTCCGCTTTTTTTTGTTGTCTCCACCAATAAAGTTTAATTTTGGCATCTCTGTGCCTTGACTGATTCTTCAAAGGGAGAGACAAGTTTCCCAAACTGAGGATCATGAGGGAACTTGCAGGGGGTTTGTGAGCTGATGAAAAGCTAATAATTAAATTATGAAAATACAAAATGAAAATAAATTGTAAAATAAAAAAATAATGATGAATCAGAATCCATCCTGCTTTAAAGTGCAAAGCATTTAAAGTGTCAGATGATTAAACGCAGCATATACTCATATTAAAAAGAACATAATTATTAATTGGTGTGGACACTAATACAGATATGTTTTCTTATTGTTATTTTCTTGATGTGAACAGGTCTTAAAAAGTTAATTGTTTCAGTCCTCTGCAGATGAAAGTTGTGGCTGATACAGAAGAGTATAAGAAAAGTGTTGAGCCACAAATATTGATTTAAATGAGCATTAAACAGATGTGAATCTGAAGACTCACCTGATACAGTCAGTGTAACAGCAGCACTGGTGTCTGATCTCTGTGAGTCTGATCTCTCTCCTCTACAGCTGTATTCACCACTATTATCAGACACAGATGTGATGGTGTAGACTCTCTCAGTGACGCGTCTGATGACTGAACCATCTTTAAACCAGCTGTATGTCCACTGAATGTTTCCTCTCTGTATGTCACATGTGAGAGTGACTGTCTCTCCTCTGAACACACGCTGATCTGGAGTCACCTTCACTACTGGTTTTGGTCTCTCTGTATTAATACACATATGAGTAGATATTGATTGAAACAGCATCACAGTCTCATAATCACTGTTGTAAACTCAAAACCTCCTTATGAAAAAAAAACTACATTAAATTAAATATTTGGTTAACTTTTAGTTATTAATTGCATCAAAAATATTTGTAAATAATGGTAAAAAATAAATGAAACATTGATATTAATATCTCTTTTTTTAAGTATATTTTTTATTCCTTCTTTTACAAACGGTTTGATTTAGTTAACCCCTAAATGTTGATTAATGCATTAACTATCAAACATGTAATAACATGTAAGGCTGTTCATCATTCATGCACTTTAAAAAAAGGCTTTGATAGGGTGTGGCATGATGGCCTATGGCAAGTACTCAGGAATTTTAAGATCGATGAGGGAATAGTAGAGATAGTGAAGGCCTTGTATGAAAGAACAAGTAGCGCTGTCCTCCTAAATAACCAAATTGGGGATTTTTTTCCCAACAACCGTAGGAGTGAGACAAGGATGCGTACTGTCACCTATACTCTTCAACCTGTTCCTGGAGCAGATAATGCTAGAGACTCTCCAAGACCATCATACATCCATCTCCATCAATGGCAGAGCAATATGCAACCTTAGATTTGCTGATGATATAGATCTCTTGGCTGGCAGCAACCAAGAACTACAAGAACTGACCAACAAGCTAGTAGAGAGGACAGGTGCATATGCCATCGAAATCAGCACAGAAAAATCTAAGGTCATGGTCAACAGCATTAAAGGAACACTCCACTATTTTTCAGACCGTTAGCATCTCACTCAAAAATGACCAAAGAGTTTCTATATTTTTCCTATTTAAAACTTGACTCTTCTGTAGTTACATCATGTACTAAGACCAACGGAAAATGAAAAGTTGCGATTTTCTAGGCCGATATGGCTAGGAACTATACTCTCATTCCGGCGTAATAATCAAGGAACTTTGCTGCCGTACCATCGGTGCAGCAGGCGCAATGATATTACGCAGCGCCTGAAAATAGTCCCCAGGTAACTTCCAATAAGCCTATTTTCAGGGGCTGCGTAATATTGTAAATTGTATCATCACTGAAAGTGCTACCGGCAGACCCGGAGATCTGCTGAATGGATTTGAAAACAGTAAAACTCAACTGTTTAACTCTAGGGGAGTTGGAAAATGAGCCTGTTTTCAAAAATAGTGGAGTGTTCCTTTAAAGACACCACCACTAACATTACCATGGGAGGGCAAAAGCTTAGAGAGGTAGAAGGATTTAAATACTTGGGAGCAACATTATCCAAATATGGCTCTTGCACAGCAGAAATCCGTATCAGAATTGCTACAGCAACTGCTGTAATGACAAGGCTCCAAAAGATCTTTAGAAGCAAAAGCATCAACTTTTGCACAAAGTACCTCCTGTTCAAGTCATTTGTGGTTTCCGTCCTGCTATACAGTTGTGAGGCATGGACACTTCTAGCTGAAGACAAGAGAAGGATTCAGGCCTTTGAATTCAAATGCCTCAGAAAGCTCATGGGCATTACCTATTTAGAGCGAAAAACCAATGACTATGTCCGAGACAGATGCACCAGCCTGGTAAGCTCCCATGATCCTCTGCTGGCCATTATGAAGAGGTGGAAACTCCAGTGGTTTGGCCATGTGACGTGCCACAATACCCTCTCCAAGACCATTCTTCAGGGCACAGTGAAAGGTGGTCGCGTCAAAGGAAGAGTTGGACTGACAATCTGATGGAGTGGACTGACAGACCCTTGCCACAGCTCCTCAAGATAGCTCAAGACAGAGATCAGTGGAGGGCATTGTCTGCTACTTCTTCCCTCATGTCTTCCCGATGGCCGAATCAGTTAACCTCCTACGACCCTGCGTCCTCATATGAGGACATTACGTTTTAGGCTTCCTGCACCATATACTTCAATCTGCTTAACTTAGAGCTGTTTTCCTCATTAAAGACAGCTGGCAGTGCCATCTAGTGGTTGCAAAACCAAAGTACACTCATTCATGTAGAAAGATGGCAGCAATATCAGCGAAGACCTTCTACAGCCACAGCCGAGATCAAAGTGAAAAAAGTAAATATCCTCATCATTTTTTTTTGTTGAGACTTGTTTATTTATACTTAAGAACATTTGTAGTATGACATGACATACAGATTTGACAAGTTTTTTCTAAAGTCACAAGCTAAGACGCTGTTATGTTGTAAGTACTCGTATGAGGACACCAGGACTATTCTATGCGTTTTTGTGTTGTACAGTCAGCATACATGGGTTGAAATTTCATGTATTTGTGTGTGTGTGTTTACCTCATAATGCTGTTTTTGCTTGCAATTCCCGGTATGTTGGTGACTTTGACCTTAATCTTACTTAGTGTAATATAAGATTAGATCTTTGTAGTGATTTTCTCTAAATGCTGCATGTGTTTGCTAAATATATCGACGCTCTATAGATTTATAGCCTTATGTAGTTTCCACTTTTGTCCATCCCTCTGTGTGTGTGTGTGTGTGAGTGCGTATGTGTGTGTGCATTTGCGTGTGTGTGTGTGTGTGTGTGTGTGACACTTAGTTTGTGAAGAAACCAACAGTTTACAAGTGTATAGTTCTTGCATGTGGCACAAATAAGTCTACATTTTTTAATTGAAAGACTACTTCAATCATTTATAGAAAACAACTCAGAGGTCGAAGATTTGTCAGACTGTGATGTTGCTGATCCTGGCGTGGAGCTGAGTGATTCCACTAGTTCAACAAATCAGCAAAGCAGTGATGAGCAAAGCAGTGATGAGAGTGCAGAGCTCCAAAGATCCAATGGACCCGTGTGTAAACGCAAGCGTGGACCTAACCCAGAAAAACGTAGATCGCATTCGAAAAGGCTGCCTGCTTCTGCCTCGACCAGAATGGGTGTCAATCGATGAACAGATGATCCCATTTAGTGGAGCATGTCCATTTAGACAGTATGTCCCACTGAAGCCTAATCCAATCGGAGTGAAAAACTTTGTGCTGGCTTCAGCAGATGGCCTTGCACTGGACTTTGAGGTGTACCAGGGTGCAAATGCACTACTCGCACAAGTTCAGGATGCAGAGAGACTGGGTTTTGGGAGCCTGGTCATTGCACATTTCGCTCAAACTCTGAATCCTGGTACAAAAGTGTACTGTGATAGATGGTTTACCACCATGAATGCTGTGGATCAGATGCTGGAAAAGCAGGTGTACTTGACTGGTACAGTGATGAAGAAAAGGGTCTCCGAAGCACATCTGAAGCTACCATCTGACAAAGTCATGAAACAGCAAGGGAGAGGTACTTCAGCATCAGTCACCAGGGGGGATGGAAAGGCATGTGTGGTAAAGTTCAAGTTCAAGTTCAAGTCTGCTTTATTGTCAATTCTTCCACATGTACAGCACATACACACAGAGAATTGAAATTGCGTTACTCTCAGACCCTTGGTGCATACAGATAACACTAACAGTAGAACATAAGTACAGATATACAGATTAAGTATAAAATACAACTATACAAATATACAAATAAGGTAAAATGTGTTCTGCCGACATCGAGCAGAAACTCACGACTGTATGCGCGCTTAGAGACAGATAGACGCGACGAATACGTACAAAAACACTGCGACTCACAAGACAAAAAACACGAAAACACCTTTCTGTCGGGAGAGAGAGAAGCCGCAGCGTGTGAACGCGCCGCCATCTGTGGGAAGATTATTAAAGTGGTTCGACAACAAGCCCGGTCTGATTGTTTCTACTGTTCATGGCAAAGAACCTGAGGACACCTGCAAGCGATGGTCCAAGACGGACAAACAGTATTTGACTGTCACACGGCCGAGCATTGTAAGAGAGTACAACTCCAAGATGGGTGGGGTTGACTTGGGAGACAGAATGATGAGCTACTACCGCATGAGTGTGAGAACCAAGAAGTGGACAATGAGGATCAAGAAGTGGACAATGAGGATGATAATGCACTTCACGGACCTTGCCTTAGCCAACAGCTGGCTTTCGTAACGGCAAGAGAACATCAAAATAGGTACACCAAGAAAGTACATGATGCAGTTCCTGGAGTTTCGCATGACAGTGGCTCAGACATACCTGAGCAAGCTCGGGTCTGATTGTCAACATGTACTGAAAGACCATACAAACCTAAACAAGGCACCACGACAAGGCAGTCACACTCCAGTACCCCACATCTCAGTTCGCTCAACCTCTGCGTGTCATCTGTCAGAGATGGCGAACCTGAGAAACCCGATGCGCTGCAGAAAAAAGGGATGCTCAGGGAAATCTCGAGTGCGGTGTGTGACCTGTGATGTCTTTCTGTGCTTGCAATCGGAACGCAACTGCTTTGCAGCATTTCACTCCCACAATAGGTGTGCAGTGCACACACATACACACTAAATTGCTTTGGCACAGCAATGTGTACTGTTTTGATGAAAGCAGTTGAAAACAGTCGAAATGAACAATTTTTTTTACTCACTTACACATTGGTGACTTTTTGTTGTATTAGAATAAACCCAGTGTCCCCATGCAGGGTGCAGAATTTTCACCACTACATTGTTTTGGCACAGCAATATGTTCTGTTTAGGGATGCGCCGATCCGATTTTCATATCGGGTATCGGGTCTGATAGTGCCATTTTTCTCGGATCGGGTATCGGTCAGAGAGGGCCGATCCAAATCCGAGAATTTTTTTTTTTCCGATTGTGCGAATTATTCTGTGTTACTTCTGAAGCCATATGATAGCTTAATGTGAGCTACATATGCATATTTAAGTCCTTACATTAAAGTTCACACAAACTCTTTTCTACGCTGTGGATGTCAGTCATTCGTTCAGCCTTTAAACCCTGGTCGCATTCGGTTACAGCAGTTAGTCTCCAAGATCATTCTGTGTTCCCATTATACTTGATTTGTAACTACATGTCTATGATTTTGCAAAAAAGGACTTGTTGCCGGAGTTTAATGTCGTTTTGTTACTTGCTACCGGGTGTCTGTGAGAACAAAACACGGGCGTAGAAAAGACTATAAATTGTTTTTAACGTGCACAGTAACTGAAATTTAAAACTGTTAAAAGAAAGGCTCAATAACTGTTGCACAGATATAATACACTACGCATCAATTTCTCTTCCCTTTGTGCTTTGCA